CAGCCCCAGCTCTCCCAGCCTTTCCTCCCAGCAGAGGGGTTCCAGCCCTCGGATCGTTGCTGGGGCCTCCTCTGGCCCCGCTCCCACAGCTCCAGCTCTGTCCTGTGCTGAGGGCTCCAGAGCTGGACGCAGGACTCCCGGGGGGCTCTCAGCCGAGCGGGGCAGAGGGGCAGAATCCCCTCCCTGGCCCGGCTGGAGGACAGAGAAGGGAGTTTGTGTTATATTGACGATTCCTCTATGCAGAGAAGGAGTTATCTGAGAGCAGAGGAAAATTCCTGAGTATGAATGCTCAAATAGAAGACCTGAAGAAAAGAATCAGGTTAGAAGAACAAGAACACCAAAAACTGCTGCAGAAACATGAGGAGACAGTCTCTCAGCTGCAGCAAGAGAAGGTAAATACAGACTATCCATTAGTCTGCAGATAGACTCCCATCCCAGTGCCTGGCGCTAAAGGTTCTGACTTTGGTTACACGTGAGATGGCTGTGTCAATCATGGTCTGATCTGTGGAACGTACGAGTGGGTGCTGGCCAGCAGAAACCGTGTGTGGTCGAGAGCTCGAAGAATCCTAGCTGGTGTGGTGGGGTATTTTGGTTCTTCCTCTAGGCTTGACCTTATTCTTGTGCTTTGAACGCTGCAAGTTGGTGTTTAGTATCTCGAGAAGTAACGGTGTCTTTAAGAGAAGTAACGGTGTCTTTAAACTTTGCCATACTCTGGCACACAGGAGGCGTCTGCAGCAGCGCACCAGAAGCTACGAGAGTTTCAGCTGGAGGTAACAAGTGAGAGACGTCTTCTTGAAGAAGAGCTGAATGACACAATGAACGAGCTGAATAAATTACATGCGAAAGAGAAGAGATCTGAAGAGCTGGTGAAGCAGCTGGAACAAGAAATCAAAGTGCAAGATGTTGAGCTTGCGCAGATGGAAGCGGAGTTGAAAGGGTTTGTGAAAGAAACTTTCTGATTCTACAGCTTGGAAAGGAGAAACGTTAAATCAGTAGCATAAGCAAAGCCTCTGAGCCTAACTTGGGTTTGACACCTGAGGAGAGCTCTATTGATTTCTTGCTGGGTGTTGATTATTGGTAGTGATTAGCACTCATCCAGCTGAGTGACTGGAGCCCGTTTTATTTTGTCTTAACTTCAAACTGTTGAAGCAGCGTGCTGAGACTTGCTCGCCGTGCCAGTGCTGTAGGAATAGGGTGGTGCGGTGAGGGGTAAGCGCCGTGCGTGTCGCGTTGGATGCTTCTGCCCTGGAGGGGGCAACGACTGGGAAGGACTTTCAAGCAAGTTGCTGCTTCTTTTCACGTATTGAAAGTTTACTGCATGCTGAATTTTTCTTGCAGGAAGAATGCCGGGTTGGAGCAACTCCGTGCAAGGCCCGGCAGCGCTGTTCTGCAGCTCCAGGAAGAGCACAGCAAAGCGTTGCGTGAGCGCGGGGAGACTGCTGCTGCGTTTGAACGGTATTTAAGTTTCGTTAGGAGCTGGGACAGGCTTCTCTCTAAGATGACAGGACAATGTGCTGTTTATTCGTGTGCCCTGGTACTGAACTCTGTGTACGAGCGTTGGGGCAGTATTAGAGAAGAGAGCTTTGTGATGGCAGGTTTGATGGCATTAAGAAATTGATGTATTCCTTTGGAGTGCTGGTCGAGCGTAATGACGTACTCGGTGCCTAGCCCAGGAAACGGAATGTTTCTCCTGCCAAAGTCTGACCTGTCAGAATGCTCCAGTGCTCTTGGACCTCAGTGAGGGCTGTAACCAGTGCTGATGTTCTCTTTGCACTAAGATCTCTTGCAAAAAGACTGCTTGTTTAGGTGCAAAACTTGCCCTGAACCCAGATTATTTTCCTGCAGTTCTTGCAGACCTTTCTTCTCAAAATATTCAGGTCGTGGAAGTATTTCAAAAAGTGATACTGTTACTGCCAGGTATGCAGCACAACCATGGAGGATCAAGTGGGGTATCTGCCAAAGCAAGCTGCAGATCGTAGGTCTTTTGGTGTTGAAAATCAGCTTCAGATATGCTGTACCTTTTGTGTTTAAAATAGCTACCCAAAGGTGAAAATACCTGTCTTGCGGAATTTGTCGTAGTGTTAATGCTTATGGCTTTAGGGAAATGTGGGGTTTGTTTGGGGTTGTTTTTAAAAAAAACTTTTGTTTTATCCGTGCCAGAATGCTGCCATAGCTCCAGATTACAAAATCTCTTGGATTTGTTCAGATGACCTTGTGTTGCTCTTGTAAGGCCTGAACATGTCAATCTGTATTTTGTCTAAAGTAACGAGATGTTTCTTATTTGCGTGGTAATACCAGCTACAAGAAGACAACAGCTGAAGAAATAAGCAGCCTCAGAGTGGAGAACACCTCTCTGCGAGAAGAAATTGCCAGCCTGAAAAAAATGAGTCAGGAGAGTCGACAGCTGCTTCAGGAAGCAGAATGTGCTAAAAATAAAGTGGAAGAAGAATGCGCAAGGTACAAGAGAGACAAACTTCTCCTTAAGCTAAGGAATGCCCGCGAAGGCTTGCCTTCTGAACTAGAACTTGGCATACAGCGCTCTACCAGATAAAATCGGTATTCAGTTTAAGTTTTTGGTGTCTAGTTTAAAGTATTAAAGTATAATATTTAAAATACTTATGCCAAAGGGTAAAGTATGTGGTAAGTTTCTTCCTTTTCGCAGTGCAGAGGATTGAAAGTATTGACAGACAAAATTCATGACCTTTCTGTACGTTAGAAAATGGGTCTGTTCAATTGCGTTGACTTTTTCCTCGATGTGGAGCAGACAGGAAAAGGGCAACAGTTACCTGAAATACGTTGGGAGATTGTCTTGATCAGAAATACCAGTTGCAGTGACTGCTCCACAGATAAGATCCACAGGGGCAGACAAACAAATTCTGAGCGCAGAGCTCTCCCTGTTGCTGCTCTGAGTCGTGTCACCTCAAATTCTGCTCCCGAGCAGATGCCAGTGACCCGCCCGTGAGGTGCCGCTCTGCAGCGCGAGCGAGGCCAAGGCCCTCTCTCTGCCCGAGAGAAAGCACCGCAGCGCAGCTGCCGAGTAGCAACCCCCAGGAAGCTGTCTTGGGCCGCGAGCTGAGGCCGTGTTTCTCCTCCGGCTGTCTGGCAGCAGCCTGGTGGTGTGTGCTCTCCTTCCACCCACGGCACGGAGCGTGAGAAAGGCCCTTGCTATGGGCGAGTCACTCGACTGCTGGAGTGCGGCCTTTAAAGGCCCCAGTGTACGGTCACCCGTGGCAGGCAACAGTGGGACCTGCCTGGACAGGAGCTGCGTTACGGAACGTGGTGTGTGTGTGCTGGAAGGCTTCCTTCCCCGCTGCTTTTAACGGAGTTCCTGGCTAGCTGCGGAAGCTGGGTTTAACTCAGCTACGCTCTGATCTTTTCAACTGGGGCATGTGGAGAAATGACTTGCTCAGCTGCATGGAAATGCTGTGTTGACCAAACTGAGTCTGGCATTTCTGATCTTCCCCGGTCTCTCTCTTTGCTGATTTGTAAAACGCCGCTGTAAAGTTTTGTGATGTTTCTATTGTCTTGCTCACCTAGAGCCAGTATATTAACAGTGTCCAGAGGACAACAGCAGCTTAGCCCAGCTTATTTTAAAAAACCTGTGCTGCTTAAGATGTTGCCCTTTCTTTCCTCCCCACCTGCTTAATACTGCCTCCAGCTCCCGTTAGAGCTGGTAAAAGAGCAAGGGCTGAAGAGTTCTTTGCTGGCTGAGGGTGCCAGGGGAGGGGTTCTCAGTCTCCACCCAGGGGAGGCTGGAGAGGGCAGGCAGTGCTTTAGGTGCAGGCAGGCATCCTGAGCTCTGGAGCACATCCTTGCTCCACAGTCTTGACTGGTTTCTGCTTGAGCAATCCTCTGCCAGTTAAGTCTGACTCTGAAGTCTCTTCCACTGCAAGCAGTTGGTGTTCAGCAGCCATAAATCAGAAATGCAGAATCCTTCCTTGCTTCAAAAGCACTGCTCTCTTTCTCATAGGAGAAGTTAAAAGTAATTGTGCCTCCTGGACTTGACCGCTTTCTGCGTTGTCGTTCTGCTCTTGTAGCACTGTTTGTGCAAATGATTAGCTCAGCTCTTCTACTAACAGCTTGTCAGCCATGGTTACTTGTGTTTTCAGATTTAGAGGAGTGTAAAAAAAATAACAAAATGAAAGAACAGGTTCACTAAGGATGGATGGTGTTTTCCTCAGGATGGTTTTAGAAATCCAGACAAAGGTTGCACTAAAAGAAGCAGAAAGAGAAGGAATGAGAGAGTCTTGCCTTGCACAAGTGACCACACTTAAGAAAAACCTGGAAGAGCAAACTGAAGATCTGAAAAGAGAACTCAAAGCGGAAAGATCAAGGTGACTTTCCTTAAACTAACCCTGCACGTTGCAGCAGATCAAAAGCTAGCGTGAAGAAGTGCTACGAGCTAACAGTGAGCGTCCTGAAACTCCACTTCTTGCTTTTTAGGAAGACCATAAATGCAGGTGTGACCTCCAGCTTAGAAGAAGAGGTGGAGACCTGGCGGAAGCTGTATGAAGATTTGAAGAACAAAACCAAGCCGTTTCAGGTGTGTGATGCAGCAGATGTCTGTCTGTGTCTGCTGGCTTCCGACTGGTGCCGGTGGCTCAGGTTCTGCTCCTGAGAAGCAGGCGTGCTGGTTCCCATTCTCAGCCATTTATCCTGCGGCGGTTTCCTAAGCTACTGTCCAGGAGCCAGCTATTCCCCTTCCCAGACCAGTCTGTCTTTAGATTTCAGTCCAGTAGAAAGCTGGGGAATCTAAAGGTTTCTAAATGTGTGTATTTCAGCAACAACTGGATGCATTTGAAGCAGAGAAGAGTGCGCTCTTACATGAGCATGGTGCTGCCCAAGAAGAACTCAATAAACTAAGCGAGGCGTACGCTGAACTCCTTGGCCACCAGAACCACAAACAGAAAATTAAGCATGTGCTGAAGTTGAAGGAAGAGAATGCCCACCTAAAGCAGGTTGGTGAAACGAAAAGCTACAAATGGGCATGTTATTGATTTGCTAGATTCCTTGGTGTGTTGCTCTAAATATTGACAGACTACTGATCCCGCAAACGACTGCGTTCCGTGGTTCTTAAATTCCCTGCCACAGCCAGGTTAGAACAAACCACCGGCCTCCTGCACCAGCAAGGGAATCTCTGTCAGTTTTGACTGAATGTGTGATGTGCAGAGGGATCACCAGTGCAAATAACTACCCCTGTTCTTAGCTGGGTTGGTTTTTCTTAGCTCTCTTGGAGGTTCGAGGCTTAGCAAACCATCTGCTGAAAGCAGCACCGGACAGTTTCGGGCTGCCCTGTGCTTGGTGGCCTTGCGCAGCAGTCGTAGTTCCTTTTTTAACGCCACGGAAAATTGTGTGCGTACATTTGTGGGTCGTGTTGCTCAGAAGCGCTGCTTCAGTGAAGGCTGAAGCAGGCTTTTCTGCTGTTCTTAATCTGACTTCCAAGTGTCACGTTTTCTTTAGGATGTCTCAAAACTGCGTGTGTTGCTGGCGAAAGAAAAGCAAACCAACAGAGATCTCCAGGGGCAACTGAACGCAGTCCAGGGCATTCGGCGTTGTGATCCTTCCACAGCTTTCCAGCACACCAAGGAAAACATCCCTCCAGAAACTCCTCTGGAAGAAGGTAAGCTTAGATTCTCGTGTAAGCACGTCCTTGTGGCTCTCAGGCTTACGCAAAGCAGGTACGACAGCCTCGTGCGGGCTGCTGCCTCTGGGGAAGGAGGGGGAAGGGCCGCTCGTGTGTCTTTCCCAGCGGATGCTGGAAGCAGCCCTCGACGGGCCTCATCTGGCGTGCTGCTGGTTTGCTGCTGGGCTTCCCAGCCCGGGGCCTGACGGAGCAGGCAGAGGGGTGGGTCAGGTCAGGCAGCAGCAGGAGTCTAGGGGGGCAAGAGGAGGGAGGGAGGGGTTACAGGCAGGCAGGCGGTTTGCACAATCTCGCAAGATGGGAGTTGGGTGTTGCTGCCGCGTGTCTCCTCCAGCTTCCCCGCTGCCGTGCGGGTGACACGTTGCGGCAGCCCGGGCGTGCGGCGGCGTCGCCTGGGCGGGCAGTGGGGAGA